ATTATTATCATCACCACCATCATCATCATCATCATCATTATCACCATCAATCATCGTCATCATTATTCATCGTTATCATTAGCATTATATTATTATTAGTTTTCAATAAAAAATACTATATGGATTGTTTTAAAGAGAGAATTAAACATTGAACAAAAGTATTTTAGCCACATGTTAATCTCAAGGATATGGAAGTTTAAATATTTTGTATATAAGTGTAATTTCAATTCTAAATTCTGCTCTTCAAAAGAAGTTCTAACGTAGGCACTCGACTACTAGGCTTTCAAGCTTCTTACTGCACAATTTTTTAATGCTTTCAGTTTTACACATAAATCTTAATCGGGTCATTGTTTCTATAATACAGCAAAAAGATATGATATCTCTGTGGAGTTATATTATTACTAAAAATTAAGTTCCTGTTAAAAACATTTCAAAAAATAACAAATTAAACATCATGACTATTCAATTCTAAAATATTATAATCTGTAATGATTTTGACTTTTCTATTCAACTAAACAAATGTTAATTAATTAAGGAATAAATTCTAACAGTTTTGAAAGCAGTGATGAACTGAAAGAACTTTGATAAAGAAGTAATAAAGAAAAAGGCTAGCATTTTCAGATGCCAACAAACTAACAAAGCAAAAAAATTTATTTCTCACAACAGTTGAAAGTAAGCTAAGATTTAGTCCAATTCTCTCGTCGTCAAGTTCCTATCACGATAGTAAATAATGAAAATGCTTAAATTGTGAAATGTTCAATAATGTTTTAAAGCAATGAATATTTTCAAGTCGATATATATTGCTTCCTTCATTTAGAGCACTCCTTTAATTTCCACTTTTTTGAAAAAAGATCAATCTTTAAAGATGATACTATTGGTATGATAATTGGGTTAGGACATTACATCATCCTCTAATAAAATGATCAAAAAGTGATCATAAAAGCAATTTGAAAAAAAAGATCATTATCACTTACTGTACAATCATTTATATCGAATTATAGTTGAAGCTCTCATGCAAATGAATTTATAAGAATAAAGAAAATAGTTGACATGTGATTAATTCTTAGACAAATGTAGAAGCTATATAATCATCAATGTAATGTGTCATAACGTTTGAGTAATTTTACACTCTTCCCTTTGGTGTTAGGAAGACGATAAATACTGCTCATATTTTATTTTCAGTTTTAGCCTCATTTCATGAATATGAATAAATGAATAAGCAGGTCGTTAAGTGCATAAATAAATAAGTAAATGAATAATTTTTACGGATAAAGCATGGCAAGAAATTCTCAAAATGAGTGCTCCCTTTGCATGTCAAATGAAAAAGACGAAGTAATCGAATTCATCCGATTTCCCTCGTATGAGCAAAATTTTTTTTTTCTTACAAAATGAACATATTATATTAAAAATTGTAACAATGTTTCATCACAATGTTCATTCTGTTCAATGATATACAATTTTAATGCATTATTATTAACAAGCCAATCAATACATAAAACCTGAATTATTTTTTGAAATTCAACTTTTATGCTATCACTTCAATCGTAGAATATCAATAGATGGGCTTAATTTCCAATAATTTTCAAATATCTTTTGAAAAAAATTTTGTGAAATAAATAAATTGATAATTAATTATAGCCAGAAATAACAATCGATGATTATAAAAGCGAAATTGCTCAAGATATAAATTTTAATATATACTTTTCTACGTTTCCCACTCTTCTCTTATTTTCTTTTTCCGGGTCCAATTCTTTTCAGAAAGCGTTGTGTATTTTTTGATAAAGGTTAGAAATTAGAAAAAGACCGGTGAAGATCGTCATGTAAGACAAAAATTTTGCACCTACACCGAAAGTAAAAAATTGTAATTGCTTCAGGGTTGAAAATTTCTTAGTAAGAATTTACTAATATTCGCAAATTTGCAAATTTTTCCAAAAATTAATCCAATACCTAAAGTGAAAGGAATTATTGATATGAAGAAGAAAAATATCAGATAGCTTTCCATAGATTGTAATTTGATGTTTAAAATTCCTCGAAATTCACTATTTTTTTGCGAAAAAAATTAATTCAATTTTAAAACAAATTTTAGAAATCAAATATCAATTCTATTACTTTAAGGAAATGATTCAGATTTCAAATAATCTAAATTATAATTGCTCATGTAAATCCTCTGATTAATTTGAGTAACGAATATTTGAATATGTCTTTTGAAATAAAAATTTATTCAAATATCTTGACATAGTTTAAACGAAGTTATAGGAAAAACATTTCTATCATTTTTCTGCAATGATTAAAAGGTGCAACTATCTAAAAAGGTTGAAGGAATCATTCCTCAAACATTCAAATGATATAAATTTCAATTTTTACCTGAAAAAGGTGAAGCGTGAAATAAAATTAATTTAAAACTAGCTAATATTTACTTGACTAACTGATGAGAGAGAGAAAAAAACAATAGTCCTATGAACTAAGTAAATTCTTAGTTTAAATTTAAATTCAGAACCATAATTTTCGATTCCTATATTAAAAAATAAAGAAGGAAATTGGGAAAGTCATTATTGTCAATCTTATTACAAATTTATTTCCAATCAAATTAAAACATCAGCAATGGTATGTTTATACCTCATATCGATATGGCTCTCAATGCAAGTAAAGAACATATTTTACTCAAAATCGAATTTACATATAATTATCAGTCATCATCACTGCCATTACTATCTCATTTCAATAAATTAAGCAAATTAAGTACAGCAAGAGAATGATTCTTTTTTTGTTGTAAAACTAATTCTATCTCAATTTTTTTATTTCGGATTCTTTTCGAATTAAATTAAAGCAATAATGATATATTATGATTCTATTTGTTTTCTCAGAATATAATGCAAAATTAAGAATAATGATTCTGTCATAAAGATATGACAATTATTTAAATTAAACGAATGAAATCATTAAGAACCTTTAAACTACAAACAGTAGGAAAGGACTTAATGTCAAAGACAAGCGATCATCCATTAATTTATCTACGCTACTAACATTCACCACTTTCTCAACTATTGTGAGATGCAGGTAACTAATATAATCTTTTGCACATTCTAAACAATAGAATTTATTATACATTTAAAATATCGATCTGAAAAATAAGTAGAGTAACTGCCATTCGTGCTTTGGTACAAATAGCAGTAACTTAGTTTGCTATAGCATTTGTTGTTCTAAATTAAAATTGACCAAGAAAATCAACAGAATTTGTTAACTAAAGAAATAGTGCAAAAGAAAATCGAAAAAACATTCCCTCTGAAAATGCTTAAAAATATTTGAATAGAATTCGAAGACATTCTTTAGTTATCCATGCTTGGGATTTCTGGCATTAAATCTCATCACATGTATCAAATCATATCAAACAAATAAATTCGCATGGTATTTTTTAAAATAACGTTAAATAAATCGGCTGTTTAATGATGAGAAATGTTTCTAACTTTAGACAAATCATAAATTTAAAAAACATTAACAGCCAGAATTCCTTCTTGAATATCTTTCGATTGTAAGTTTCCTACTGCTAAAGATTGCTATATCTCTTGAAATTCTACTCCATTCGAAAGATGTATCAGGCTGTTTATTGAAAAGGCACTCGTAACATTCATTCAATTACTTTTCAAATGGTTGCTCTATTGAACTCACATTAATACCAGTTACTTTATCCTGAGTGCAATAATTTACAACAGCTAAGGTCACATCTGAATCATTTCAAGCTTGAACCAGTTATGAAAAGTACTCATGTATCTGAATATATTTAAAGCGTGGCCAAATCTGAAGCTGCAATTTGTAAATCCAAATTATAAGAACTTCAAAATTAAACAGTGCTATCACTTGTACTCCATTTATTCGTTTGGTCTTTTTTTATTAGGCTTTCTGTGATTTTTTGCTGCTAAGTGTAAAATTACAAAACAATCTATTCGAAAAACTTTATTAACTTAATTTAACTTTTTATAAGAAATTCACATATAAATTTAAGTTCTGTAAACCATGATACTTCCAAATATTGTTAGCTTAACTCAAATTTATTTATAAATTCTTGGAAATTACATGCAGCATCGTTAGCTAATTCTAAAATAAAAGCTGGATTTAAAGAAACTCTTCTTTAAAGCATTTTGAAAAAAGCAATCAGAAAATTGTAGTTTTTTGCTCATCCAGTTTTTTAATGCCATTATACCCAAAGCGAAAAAATTGTGGAAATTAAAAATTGAATCATTGTTGCATTTTTTGAAAAAAGATAAAGTAATTTTTTGGAATGTGATCAGAATCTTATCACGAATTTTGTTATAAATAAAAAGGAAATACAGTGGAATGTAGGTACAACAAAAATTCATAAAGAAATAAAATATATCAGTCTAAATCACTTCGCCTTCGTGATAGGAAATTTCCAAACAGTCCATAAAGATATGGATTGATTACTGCATTGAAAACCATAATACTGTGCAAGCAATACACCTGAAATAATTTCTATCCACATATTTTTCCATAAGAATTTTGTGATTTGTACAAGCGTTTCGGTTTTAAATCATTCCTGAAATATTTTTCCAAACGTACCTTATTAGCATGTGCCTCAACAAATCCTTGAGGATCAATAAAATGATACAAACTAAGCCCATTATATGGTAGCCAGCATATTATATAAGCAGCTACCAGTTGAAAACTTACTCTAATCGCTCGACTTCTGAAATTTTCATTCATTAATCAAGCAAGATCACATAATTCAGAGATTGCAAGTTAAAAATATACCAAGCAGTTGACCTACCTTATAATTTTGGTGTTGCACGACCGGTAATTGATAACATAACCACCTGAACTGTGATCGGTAATAGCAATGTTCCCTTGTTTCATTATTGGCTGATTACTAACAGTCTGATTATCACTAATAACGATACGTCGATTCGCTAGAATACAACTGCCTAATAAGTTAAAAGGAATAGTTCTGATGTCTGGTTTTAGGTATCTCATTCAACATATCCAAATACGGCTGCGTTTACAGCACACCAGAAGATATGCTCGAGTGATTGACAGAAGATCATTGCAAATGAATTATGACAATTATGGCAAATTTGATTTCAAATATCCGTTTTTCTTATCTTAATTTGTCAATTCAAATTTTTCTTTTAATTTCATGAAAACATCTTTGTTGCGTAGAAACTGATAAAGTAGTGACTAAGAAAAACGTACGCCTTAATAGCGATGATGTATTTCCATCCTTTCCTTTCTTTAGTGTCGATTTTAAGGGCTTCCAACCTGCAGATCGCAATCTTTTTCATGCAACTGTATCAAATTCAACTTCATACTAAAACTAGACCCAAACACTGTTATGATGTGTTTACTACTTCTTTTATTAAATTACCTTATATGTACTATTCATCAATCAGAAATCAATGAGGATAAATATGTTTGTATGCATTTTAGTTCTAGTCAAAAATCAATATATAATTTCTGGATATGTCTAAAAAATTTGAGACATGGATGGAGTTTAAACCGATGAACGGAGCGATAATCCATCTTTCGTTGGCTCATTTCGGCAACGATTCCTTCTTTGTAGTGCTTTTTTTATCTCATATAGCACAAATTACCTTTTCATATGTGTTTCATTTCTTGGAATATTAATGAACAGCGATATGTTTATGTATATTAAATTATAAAGAAAATAATGAAAGAACATTATCTTATCAGTATTTGTTCTTTTATTCATCTCTGCGAATTTTAAATAATAGTTGAATTCAAGTTACATTTACCGTCTACATGTTTACAGTCTATGTCTGTTGAATTGGACCAACTCTGTGTAAATGGTTTTCATGCCCAATTTAATTGGCTCTAATTTGACTTTGCTGCATACTGTCAATATCTCTGAAGTCTTTTCTCGGATTGGTCGATTCAATTTCGTGCAACTTCTTTACTTTATATCCTTCTCATATTTTTTGTATTATTGTGACTTCTTGATTTTTTATCCCTTATGAAACTAAGGATAACAAAAAAGTCTAACATCCTAACAGCAAAGTCTATCAGATATGAATACTGTCGATTTGGGAAAGAAGTTGCAAGTGGGAAACGAGTACTGTTTGTTTACAAAACATTCTCGCTCAAGTCGTGGCGAGAATAAGCATTTATAAATAATAAAAAAACGTGTTTAGCTGAAATATTTTAAAGTATTTGCATGCCGAAAGAGAAAAATAGTAATGAGAACGCCGAAGAAATGATTTCGCTATAAACCGCATAAAATTTTTTGCTCTCCTATGTCGACATTTTCTACTCCAAATATATGTATTATTGGCATTTTATACTGTACTTAAACTTCTGCTAAAAACTAGTGTTTCAATTAGATTTCATGAAACAAAGTCCGCTTCATAAAAAAAGAATTTTCTTAAGCATAGAAAAAATCTTCTTCAAAAATAAAAATTATTGGGTCACATTTGTTGTGGCAGAATAAATAATTTTTGACTAGAATAAACTATTATTATTGTTTAATGATTTATCATTATAATTTCAAAAAAGAATACTTTCATAAAAGAATACTATATAGTTTGCTTTAGGGGGATCCAAAAATGAAGCTGATCAAAACAGAGGCCTTTTTTCATTATTTTTTTTTTGATTCACCTATCCATTAGTTTATATTTGGATAGGCCATTTTTAGTGACCAGTGATTTTAGCTACATCTGAAATTTCAAATTTGAACTTTTTCACATACCAGAAGACTGTTGATTCTTTATACATCGCTTATTGTTTTCGCAGCCGGAAACATTTAAGTGGCTTAAATTACGCGAACACATTACTGTATTTGTTGTGGGCTGTGAATTCAGGTAAACCCAGCAGGATACAATTAGATAACACAACTGCAACATTGCAATTCACTTCACTGCAAAAAAATTTTCAACCTATGTTTACTTAATGAGATCTTTTTTTCAAGCTGGATAAAAAAAGACAGAGCAAAAAAAACAAGTAAACAAACCAGAACGATAGTTGCTGGAACCCAAAAAATCAACATCATATGAACAATAACATAAATATTTTCTTGTTCCATCAATTGACGCGATGTTCCAACACTACCATTTTTCATGGCTTGCTCAACACGGATTATCTCCCAGATCTATATTTAAATTCACTCATAATTTAGGATCCAAACTAAAGTAATTAATAGCGAAGACTGAAAATTTAAGTAGAAATGGATATAAAAATAAAAAAATTGCAAAAATAATAATTGACAAAATGCAACTAAAGGAAATATGATAGAATAGCTATCAAAGAAATAAAAATGAATTTTTAAAAATTAAACAAAAAATTGATGTCACATATTGAAGAAATATTTATTTACTTGCATACACTGACTCCAATTAAGTTCCTCAAATGCAAGAAATGTTTTCCACACAACAAACTGCGGTGTGCTGATGATAGCAGCAGCAATCCATGCTATCATAAGCATAGCTCGAGTCCTTCGCTGAGCTTTTTCCGGTGAATGATGTTTTGATGACATTACTGACAATAAACGATCAATTGCAATACAAACAATTACATTTGATGACACCTGAATTAAAATTTTCAACTACAATGTAGCAATTTCGAAATGATTATCACCTTTAAATATTGTTTATTATTGGCAACATTCTTGATAAAAGAAATTCCTGGAATAAAATTTTATAGTAAAAAATTTTCGATATCAATTCTGCTTGCCGAATTTTAGGATGATCTTTGTACTATCTCAAGAAGCAATAAAAATCGTAAGGTGCTCTCCCCTTGTTTCCCACACCTTATCGGTATTTATGAGAATTCCTCAGGAAATACTTGGTTGTTTACTTTTAGAGAGCATTTGATCAGAAAAAGAAATCTTCATAATCCCTTCTTCTATTGAGTAAATTTAATTAATACGCAACTAAGAAGACAATTTCCAGATAAGGATTCCATTATTTTATTTTTCATCTCAAGCAAAAAAAGATATAATTATCATTCTCATAATTAAACGAACTGACATCCGACTTTCATTTTCAGAATTCAACAAATTTTCCATTAATTTCAAAATTTTCACCTGAAAAGAAAATGTATGAAGAAATTTGATAATTTTACATAAGGAATTTCCACCTCGCCAATCATATGTTAGCAGCCAACAGACTCGTGATGGTACATATATAAACAGTACAAGTAAATCAGAATAATTCAAATGTCGCTTTAAAATATCAAGACGTGTAGCTGTTGGTCGTTCTGTGATCTGAAATTTTATTAAAATTTTTGCTTCGTAATACTAAAACATTAAGAATGAGGAGAAGATGTGAGGAATGCAATAATTCATGACATGTTTCAATGATGACGCATATTGTTGGGCTGCTGCTGATTTGTTCGGCCAACTTTGTTGGCCTTGGATGTTGTTGCATTATTTAATTTAAATATTGCTTCATTTAGAATTAGAATACCGTTGGATTGGGATTCAACTGACGATTATTCTCACTCAGAATTCTAACTTTTAATTTTTTTCTCTTCTTTTGAATCTCAAACATCGCGGAGAAGTATCAATGTGGCTATTGCTGAATGTTGCCTCGACTGGTTGTGTTCTCTCTCAATGCTTCCGGCTTTTTTTGTAATTTTATGATAAATAATTTTATTTAAGTAAATTTTCGAGTCAACTCAAATATTTTTTACAGCAAATCCTTAGCAAATCTTCAATCCTACTTTGGAAAAAGCAAAATCGAGATGATCTATGTCATATTAAATGGAAAGGGAATTCGAAGTTTTGACGAAGGATAAGAATGCATCAATTTGAATGATTGAAAAGCTCTTTATTTTTTAGCAATCTCATTTCAAACAGTGCGATCAAATATTTTGTAAATTTGAGAATTTCATGGAAATCATGAATGTAAACCATTTTTTGTGTCCAGAATCTATCATTCCTCATGTTGAGAAATGCTTCAGGTGTTCAAATTATAAAAATGAAAATGTTTGGAAAATTCTGATATTTGCAACAATGAAGCAATTTCTCGTTCTAAAATTCAAGAGATCAATGGAAAAAGTTTTCGATAATAGAAATAAGAAGTGCTTATTTTTTCTATGTGTACTAATTCATTCACTAATAAGTTTCTGACTTTGTTCCAATTACATGTACGATGATTATACTAAACTTTATTACAAAAAAAAATATTTCATAAAACGGCAATCAGAGAAATTTTTCTCATTATTTAACACCTTTTTAAAAGGAAAAAATATGAAAATATGCAAATGAATTGAAATTATCGTAATTTCAATGAAAAACGATAGATATAAGATTAAACTTTCTTTTGTTCTTCAGTTTTCAATAAAAAGATTTTATGCTTCACAGTCATTTCTTGCAAGATAAGTGAATTTACCTGGGTGTGTGCTGCGAGATTTAACGGTCCACCAATAATAAATAAAATGAGTAATGTCCCTAATTCAACATAATCGCTTACAATTGGTTCTGGTGGACGATCATTCTCATCCATTATCTGAAAAAAATTCAATAAAATCAAAAAGGTAAAACAAAAACGCCAAACTACATTTTAGCTAAATTAGAATTCTGTTCAAAAAAAGCTAATATCGATAATGCATAAGGACAGAAAGACTAAAAGCAAAAAATCTCGTGTTTTATGATGATTTGAATATTTTTTCTAATTTAAGCCTGTTTTTTGCTCATATTTTTTTTCTTTAGAGCGCATGTATACGATAAAATAGAAAGTTGAAGATGCTAAAAGTATCCAAATTGAGAGATAGAAACGATGTCACCAAAGATTTTGGGAACAGCTAAATTTGAAAAAAAAACGTCAAAAATAACATTCCAAAATTCATCAAGGTCATAGCAAAGTTAAAATAGTGACTCAAGTTTATTAATTCCAATTAAATTTGCTAAACAGCTGCACAAAATTTGAAAGAATTTTTGTGAATTTGTTTTTACTTAAGCACTAAATTGCTGCTTTAATGCTTGCTTATCGCAATCTTTTAAAAATTCCTATTCATCAAATTCCATGTCAAAAAAACATACGAACAACAGTAAGTTCTGTACTATCCTTAGTCAATTATTCCTTCGCTATTGTCCAATATGATCACGAACTCCTATCCATTCTATGTAATTAAAGAAATTTAAAAAAAAAAACCTGTTTCTGTTTTAATGATTATTTATGTTTTGTATTGATCTATATCATAACTATTTTGTGCATTATAAAATTATCACAGAATTTTCACCAAAATAATTTTGTATTACTGTTGCAAATCAATTACTAACATTTTTAGTGATTAATATATTAGTTGTTAAAAAATCTTACACCGATTGTTTTATTACAATATTAGTAAATCTCATAAAAATATCGGAATTCATCAAACAGATTGTTTATTGTTACAACACATATTCTGAAGTTAAAAATTCAAGAAAAAATATAGGAAAAATGAATGAAAGAAAAATGTTCCTGAAGTGCTGTTTGATGATTTCCATCAATTTAATATAACAAACAATTCAAATTGCCTAAAGAGAAGAGTTGAAATGAACTATTTGAGAGTAGCATGCTATATAAGATTAATTAATCTCTTGGGACAGTTATATGAAATTTCAAATTGTATTAAATAGCGAGAAAATTTTCCGCTCATCATGAATCTAACCTTAAAAGTTCTTATGCATTGTTATCTATTTTTCATTATATCGGCCGTTCTTTGCAGTATTAAAATTTTAGGATACAAGAAATCAATATAGTAAATAATATTCCGTCAAAAATTCTGCGAAATCTTTCAGTGTTTCTGAGAGAGGAAATGGGACGAGCAATTGGATATTTGAGAATGATTTTCTGTGAGAACAAGATTGAAATTTGAATTACAACATACTCGCATTCTTTTTTTTCTAAAAATAAAAGCGTGGAATGTGAGAACAAGCTAAGGAAATGGTTATTGCATTTGTTAGCACAACAAATGTATCACTTTTAATTTTTGAGCTTTCTTACGTTTAACACCAAACTAAGTTGTTTTGCATGCATGACGTAATTATTAACAAATTAATGATGACGTATTAGTAAATAAATAAGAGAAAACTTGACAAAAAAAAATTTCATGAATGCATTCCTAAAATGTGATGGATAATCGATGTATAGTACGCCCTTAAAATTAAAGTGGAATGAATAAGTTGTCATATGGCATAGTTAATACTAATATTTTATTAATTCACTGGCTTAAATGAATTGTTGTAAACATTTCATAGAGTTGTGCATGTGATAATTGCTTGATATGATATTCAGTGGTTCAAGTCGATGAAATTAGGCGGCTTTTCGAACATTGTACATTCAATTATTTTAAGTGCTTTCAAAATTTTTCCATTCTATTATGAAATTTATTAAAAAAATGGAAGTAGAAAATTACGTATTAAATTTTATGGCACAACATTTTTCAATATTCTCAAATTAGAAAAAATTGGCGATAACCATTAATATATTAGACAAATTTAACAAATACTTCAACAACCTTAATTCTTTTTTTAAACAATCTAAGTTGTATGCTATTTATTATCCAAATCATTCCAAAAAATATAACTTTATATGCAATTTAATTACATATGACTAAGTTTGCATGTATGGAAGATAGATATTTCCTGTTCATCAATGTGAATTTGAATCGAAAAAAAGGTCATTGAAAAAATAAACAAATAAGCAGTAGTTTTGAAAGCAATAATTGGTATTTATTGAAAAAGCAATGAAGCAATCCATTTAAAACAAAATTATAGGAAAATTGCAAAAGTCGGAGACAGAATAAATTAAGAACAAAAATTTACATGTTTAAATTAAAAACAGTGTAAAAATTCATATGCAGATTATTCGCAGCGATTGTTAATAACGATTATTAACGATTTGTTAATAAAATTTATAACAACAGTTCTGCAGTTATTTTCTTGATTTCTTCATTACAATTAACAATAAATTTAGCTCCTAAGTTTCAAGCTTTTTCAAAAATATCAAATACACTTGCAATAACGACAGTTATTGAAATTCAAAACTAAACTAAATTATGACAAATTTTCAAAATTGGACGTGTTTTTTATACGATAAAAAAATCTACATTCACGTTGACTTTTTATTGCGTTTTTTAAATTGAAGAATATAAAATTATTTCAAAAAAACCTTATGCGATGCATATTTTAGCTAAAATAAAGTATATGAACTTTTCTTAATTATAAAAGAAAAGATTTCAATACATTTATGACGATTTTCTCGTAAATCTTGTTGGAAAAATTCTAAAAGAGCAATTATAAAATTTAAAATTCACAAATTTCTTCGTACAAAACGAAAATAATTTTAAATAGTTGCAAACATTTTAAAAATGAATAAATTCGTTATGGATAGAGAAGTGGTGATATTAAAATTGTCTATTGTGCCATGTTACATTATTTATGGCTCAGTCTTCCCTTTTTCGAGAAAAAGGCAAAGAAGGATTGTTAAAAAGGAAATCTGCCAAGAACCTACAAGCTTTTTCATATTTTTAAAAGACTTTCATTCAGGCAATAGAACATATGGATTGCTTTGTTTTCATTAAATTAACGATGAATAAAGGAGAAATATAAAATTAATCATCTCTTTTTTTCATTTAAATACAAGTTATTTACACTTATATTTGCATGAATATCTCACCTGAATATGAAAATAAATGAATTAAAGGAATAAGGGAGATTGTTGCGCACTCAATCTCTCTTTTCCCCTTAATTCATTTATTTTCATATTTTACATTCGACGTTTTCTTTTGAAAAATTTATTCCTACTAATGTTATTACATTCCTCTAAATGTTGAAGTTCTATGATAAGAATTAAGAAACATTGTTTATTTTAATCGTTTTATTTTGTTTATTTTTGTATTTAAATTTAAAAGAACTACTGTTGTATGCCAATTATTTCTACAAATAACTAATAAGGTTTGCATCACCAAATTTCACTAATAATGTGACGATATCAAATAGTACAACTATATTTTTGGTTTTGAAACAAAAATTTCATAAATTTTCAATATTTGATAGATGTGATCCTAAATTTTCTATTTCCGTTTGATCAAATATTACTCTAATATTACTGAGCAAAAGAATTCGTTCTTTTCGGCAGTAAGAATTATTTGGAGGAAGATTAACGATGCTAAACATGGAGAAAAAAAAACAACAAAAGCATTTTCTTTCATTCTTTTCTTTTTATGGTCATTGCCTTAATTCAAACAGTTGCACAAATTTTATAGTTTTATGCCTTTTAAACTTCAAAATGCTATCCTAAATAATTGGGATATTTCAATTTAAATTAGTATATCATAATTTTAAAGATAATCCACAAGTATACCCGAAAGGACATCATCATTTATATTAAAAAAAAATTAAGACATTCATTCTAAGTAATTATGATTTTTATGCCTAACAATATTAATCTCAAATATATTCACTTTATTTTCACCAATTTTCTAAAATCAATTACAAAATACTTTGATATTAAAAGGAGAAAAAATGAAGGAACAAGTGAAATAAGCTGATATTTCTCATTGTGCTCAGTGCAATTTGAAAAAGTTTTAGTAAATCCCATTTTTAATAGAAGTTATTCTTATAAGTCTTCATTAATGACAATTCATGCGAATTCTCTCAACTTCATATGCATCTAACGCGTTAAAAATGAAACGAGAAATTTGTATTCAAAATTACCGTACAAAAAATTGATTCTTTTGAGTACAGCATAATTGCCAAACAAATGCAAAGTTCAGTTTGCTTCGGAATTTTGCGTATAAATAAACTATTGATGCGCAAAATGAACAAGCAAAAGAAAAATTTTGATAAATTAGGTTTAATGCTTTCAAAGCATGTCCATCAAAATTTTTTTTCTTTTCTGTTTCCCAGGATATATGTGGATTTATCTTTTTCACTAAAAATTCAGACATATGATTTCACCTGGTTATCCCCATGGATTAAAACTATCGTTGTTTCAATCCTATCATGCATTACATCTTGAAATAAGAAAATTCGGCTTCGTCGATTTGATGAGTGAAAGAAAGAAAGAAAAAGGAAATATGTAAAGGAAGCATTAATTTCAAATATATACTTGAAGAATTTCTGACTAACGGTTGATGTAATAACAAAATATCACTGACGTTTGAAAAGTACTGTTGAGTATATATCTATATCTTCAGAAGTTAATAAAACCTCAGAATCTGGGATTTCCCTCAAGAATATTCAGAAAAAAATTCTTTCAAGTGAAGGAGTTATACAAAAGCGAGAACATATATATATTGAAAGTTAAAACTCAAAACTATTAATTTACCTTAATTACTGAATTTATATTTTTAAAATCACAAGCCACAACATGTTTTTGGTATCAGCGATAATGAATTGTTGTTTCACATGTGCAATGTTGGAAATTTGTATTCTTCAACGGGATTATTTAAAAATAAGCTTTATCATTGCAGAAATTCAAAGCACGAAAAAATTTATACACTTCTGATTTAACTTACGCAACTTGCACTACTGTTCCCTCATTAATCACCCACATATTTTATGTTTTATTTTTCAGTTTTTTCTTTTTTCATAATGTTTTTTGAAAACTGATAAAAGTGAGAAACAAAAAACATTTGAAATAAGTAGCATAAGCAATGAACACTTAAATTTGTTTGTAAATTATTTCTTGCTTTTATATTTAGCTTCAATTTATAAAAAATTTATAGATGAGTCTTTAATTTTGCCAAAAAATTTGTTAAGCTCACAAAAAAGGTATGTATAATCGAAAATTAATTTTGACGGATTTTTTGGTCACGATATAATTCGTCTACTTTTATCAACAATTATTTTTAACAGAGAATTACTTACTAATTATTATCTTAATAAAAATTAGATTTTCTTAATCTTGGAAACCTTGGCCATCTTTTTTCGCCGAGCTTTTTCAAAAAATGCACTTGGTTGCTTAAAATGTGGGCATCCGAAAAAAAAGCATCGAAATCTTTTATTTAGTTAATATATTTTGTGCTAAATTGCACTAAATTACCTATAAATCAAGTCAAATTTTGAGTAAGCTCTTAAGCCTTAAAAAAAAGTGAAACTCCGCATAAAATTCCTGCTGACGCATTTATCCATTTTTAATTAGTTATAAGCTTATATTTTCATTCCATCTTTAACTATAATTTCAATCAAACTATTAAAAAAAGACCTTTCAGTTTTGAATATTTAAAAAAAATGCATCAATCTTAATATTTTTAAGACAAGTTGCCAAGCACAATTAATCTAAACTAATCAATTTGCTCAAATTCTAATATATTTTTTGTGCAATTAATTTACATTCGAAATACTAATAGAAAGTAAAAAAAATTAGCAGTTCTGATCAATCTTCAATTCAATTTTAGCAAAGTATTAAGCTAGAATTAAATTTCATAGTGCACTGTTAACAAATGTGCTTAGTATTTTAATGCGATGAATGTATGCAAATTACTTAACTATTCAATTCATTCAACTGCATTCGCTCTTCCTGACCCTTCAGAAACTGATACGAACGGTGGGTTAACGACAAAATGGTGCCCTATTAGTATTTCATTTGCACTCGTACCATCTTTCTCACAATATATAAAAATAGATTTCTCGGAATTTCAATATATATAATTAGTAAATAAGCAAAAATAAAAAGAAATTTCAAAGAAATGAATGGAAACGGTCTCGCAAACATATCCTTCAGGTGAATTCAAGTTTACGAAATGAGAAATGAGAAATTCAAATAACGTAATGTATGGGTGTGGAAGTGCACGAAGTTCTATTTTTTTACTCTTCGCGAACTGATTAACAGCAACGAAGTTATTTATCAAAGTCACACCGCACTTTTTTTCTCGAACATAATGCTCAAGCAGAAACTAGAAGTTATAAAGAAAAAAAATTGTGTAAAAAATTGAGGAAGAGATTTTAAGGCAGTATATGAAATCAAAAAATGGGTTATGATTTAAAATTTAATTTCAATGATAAACCAATAGATTTATAAGTAAATAGAACGATTTATCTTTTTAGTATAATGGTTCGACACTGGAAACATCGACATCTGTAGGCAGCAAATATTGTACAAAATTAAATAAAACTGATGTGGGTAGAAAAAGTCTGCCAATTCAGTTACCAGCTAAAAACTTTAAGAGTTCACAGATCAGCAAAAGAACTTTACGAATTCAGCACACTTAGATCATTTTATATGTATTTTCAGTTTTATTTTCCTCATTCTAAAAACTTTCTCCTCTTGCTTGTCGGTTGAACTGTGAAATTAACTGACAGAATTTCTGAATTTACACTTAAATCATTTTATATGCATTTTATTAATGAAAATTTTAATTTTTTTCTCATTTTCATTTTTCAGCAAATAAATGTGAAAAATATTTTGATGTTTTCGAGAGTCAAATTTGAAAATAGTGAAAAATTCAAAACTGAAGTGGGAAATAATTCAGTAATTGTCAGCTTTTAATTATCAGTAAAAGCTCGCAATTCCACTTTGCTTACATTGTCTTCTTGCTTTTCTTTATGTTCTGACATTTTTAGAATTGCGAAAAGCCTATTTTTGACCAGATTTTTCCTTTTTTCCTTGAAAATAATCTCTATAAATTTCTTGTTGTTTCAATTCAGTCATTCATTTTTTTATAATCACACGATTACATTTCGAAAAATTTCTAATATCATCAGTTTTTAGAGGAACATCAGAACATGATTGATTTGTCCATCTAAAATTTCAAATGAAAAAAACAATTTATTTCTATTGATGAATAGAAAATATGATAGAAAAAGTTCCTGCTCTAATTAAAAATTAAGCAAAAACTGAAATTTTACAATTTTATTCATAAGTAACATAAATGTAAGAAAAAGCATGTTGTTTAAAAGTTTTCAAAAACTGGTTACAACCTTGAAGCAAGCAAACAAATGAGTAAAAAATAAAGTAACTTTTGATAAGAATAAAAACTAAGCTTATTCAAATGCCTAATAATAGATACTTTTCTTAACTGATTATTGACAATGTCTGAACACACATGAATGATCTGTTTAGAAAGGTTATGAAAGGTGATTTAAATTTATCAGAATAATCAGTTGATGAGATTGTTTTATCATCGAAATGAAAAAGTGTATGTTAAAAAAGCGACCAATTGTCAATATTGAAAAAGTTAAATTTATGTTATTCTAGAATAATGAAAATGCAACAAATGAGATAAAATTTAATGTATTAATTTTACTTTCATAAACATTGCTAAAAACTGCAATATTTATAAAGTGGAAAATGCTGAACTTCCATATAATGTTAAAATTTCGCAAATAGTATGGAGAAAAAGCATTTGCAAGTAATATTATTTACGGAGCGATATTAAAGTAATGGAAAAATTCAAAAAAAAGTTTTAAAACAGCAAAATTTCTTTTGAGTGACACTTCTGACCAAGAAAAAAAAACACGCAAGAGTAAATAAAACATAAATTGGAGGAAAAATAAAGTGGTTTTATTGAACTTTTTTCTTTTTTGTTAATCTATCCGTGAAAGAAAATGAATGTGTGTGAACGATGGATGAATTAAGTGACAAACAAATGCATAGACCAATTGTGAATAATCTCATATCCTTACCCAAAAACTCGTATAGTATTGATAAAAAAGAATGAAAAAAATGAACAGCGCTGCGGAAAAGGAATAAATAGTTTTTCTGCAACTAATTTTGAAACATTTAGACAACTCTATTCGGGTTAAGCTTCAGAAGTGAGTGTTATCAGAATTTTGTTTCTCTTTCCATTACAAAAAAGTATCTTCTCAATTACAAAAAAATTGAGATAAGAAATGTGCAAAATCTTCCATTTCCATATATGTATATGTTAGCATACGCTGCAAATTTCAGAAGATTAGCATATTCTCATGCACACAATGCAGTTGGCTGAGCACTGGATGATCTGCTAAAATGGAATTTCTTGATTAGATATCATAATTGTTGGAAAATTGAATAGTTGATAGCTATTCTGAATAATGGATAGATATATTTAATTGGCCTTTGTTGTTTAAATCGAAATCTAACTTTGTGTTTGTACTTCATTGGACCGAGTCACTTTCCATTAATTAGAATTCTCTCCATGTTGATCTAACATTGTAATGCATCGTCCATCAATAGCAGGATTCAAAATTCAAGATTTTTAGTGTATTATAAAAAACTTTACGTCATGGACTTACTGCTTTATGTTTCAATGGAATTCGGTCAGTTTTAACTGATTAGAAGTTAAGGCTGACCGAATTCAATTGAAACATAAAGCAGTGAGTCCATGGCGTAAAGTTGGACATAACTAAAGTTTGGCATCACTACATTATACTATTTGGCTCTAGCAATTAAAAGATAAAAAAAGTAAACAACAGAAAATATTTTCCGTAAGTAGCTTTTATTATTAGCAGAGCCGATTCACTTGAGAAAAACCCAAACAATCGATGTTTAAAAAAGAGTTTCAACGTGCTCAATAATAAGTACGCAATTTTCTTTGAAGACAGCCAATTTAAAGAGAAATAATTTGCTCCAAATATGTCTATTTTGGAGCAGCAAAAAACTTTTCCCTCTCTACTTTTTTTGTTATTACCTTACCGAACATACAGATATCAATGAAGGAGGTACGATTTACATCCATAAAATCCTTTTGTGATAAAAATTTCATGTTGAGTTATGGAATTGGTAGTTTGGTTACTTCAATCATTTATCATTTCTCAACTAACATAGAAGTATTATATCTAATGAAACGCTAAGAATACTTTTAATAAAGTCTTAATTATATTATGAAATTGTGCCTTTTAGTCATTTTATTGTCCTTCAGCCAACAGTTCAACAGTGCAGCAAGTAAGATATCTTTTGAAGGTATAATATCAGTTAACACATACTGTCCTGATATTAAAAAAATGGCTATATAACATTTAAAATTTTTGTTAAGTCTCTAACGGATTTTTAACAATAAATTATATGTAGAAGATATGTAAAGAGCCAGTGTTATTCAGGCATGAATGATTTCATCGGAAGCCGAGAAAATTGGTACAAGTTGATAACATTCAATCTTTTAAGAATTGACATGAAAGGAACTTAAAGTTAGCATGATAGCAAGTTTATTTTATAATTTTATAGAATAGCTAAACTGTGTGGAGTAAATTTTGTGAAGTTCTTAAGTCTTATCTATTTTTTCTAAGACATTTGACCATAGTAACTCTTTACAAATCATCCACATTAATTAATATCTTACCTCATTTTTCGGAGTTTTATTTTCAGCATCAGAAACAATGACCAACAATTTTAACTTGTTAAACTTTGAACAAACAAGGTCACATTTTTGAAAAAGTATTGCTGATGTTTTAATTCCTTTTAAGAGACAGTCTGAAGTAGATTGACAAATTAACCGATTGGTTAGAGTGATCACTAATCTTCAAAATGATTACAAATAATCTTAATTGTTATTGATCTTCAACAAGTACACATTGAATTGGTGAGAAATAACAATTTTTGAAATGATTTGCGGATCGCAGCATTATGTGATGTGCTGGTTGTTGTTGTTGTTCATGATGAGTTTGCTCATGTGATATAGCACTCCACGGAAATAACTGAGACATTGCCAAACTTTTCCTGGAAAATTTTTTTTACGATGCATACTTTGGAGCAGATGGACTTTGCACTTACGTAAGAAATTGATTTTTTGAATATTTTATGCAGAAAAAGTGTTACATCGGTAAGTTTTCTGAAATCAGTTCGATAAGGTTTGCAGGAAATGGAATATGTCTATAAAATTACCATGGACTGTTTCGTGATTCTTCGTCCCATAGTGAAATTCTGGCAGAGCTTGCCCTGGAAATTCATTTTTTTCTATACTATCATAAACAGCACAGTTGGAAACCAATTCTAAATGTGCAGTGGTTATGTAAAAACATTTCGCATGCTGGAGCTTTCTCATCTGCTCTCTGTTCTATAATACTTCAGAATTAATTTTCTAAATTTATACGACCTTGAACTCTCACTTTATTCCCATATTTCATCATGGACAATTTCAAATATTTAAAAATTATTTTAAAGTAAGTCTGACAAATCTACAGGCAAACTTGGATTGAAAACACATATAGAAATACCACTATCACTGTCAATTCACGAAAATGAATATCAAGCACTAAACTACCTTGAAGTCGATGATGTATTTTCAAACGTTCCCTTGAAACTTTGCTGGAGAAGGAAATGTGAAATAAAAAGGGAATGACTTCGCAGGAAAAGATAATGACGAAGATAAGTTCGAGGAATAATTTCCGCATTCGGAAGAAAAGAAAAATATAAAATATAGAAGTGCGTAAACATATCCACTAAAAAGTAAATGAGCGGTTCAACGCAGTGGTAGATCCTATTAATCCGTTCAAACAGATAGAAGTAGCCGCACTAGATAAATTAAAGTCAGGATATGTTTAATTGAATAACACATATTATCTTCCTTTTTACAGTGATTGGATAAAGTTGTAGAAATTTGAAAAAATTACACAGCCAACTAGGAAACCAGAACAAATTCTAAAATATACACTACAAAATAGTATAATTTACATTGGTTGTAGTTGGGTATGCAATCTACAAATATACTCCATTTAAAAAAGATGCATGCTTTCCGAATAAATGCCGTAAATTTCCTGTCCTATTTTAGAATAACAACGAGCACCAACTTTACACAAGGTTCTTTACATGCAACTTCACTAACAGATCAATGGGCGAATAATATAATTGTGTTTGGATGCGTTCATAAGCATAAACTCACCTGAAAATTACTGCAGAAAGAGTGATAAAGACGGAATAAGTTTGACCGCAAAGCATCCAGTCGCACTCGAAGTGGTGAAAAACGGAGGTAACCTGTCATCAATGATGACGCCGAAGCTATTTATATGCGAACACCAATTTTCGATTTACTGAATTGGATAATATTTTTTATTTCATGTAGGCTCAAAAACTAAATGATGGAAGCAAGTCCTCTTTAGCAGAAAATCAACAATGTTAGTGTAAAGCAATTACCGGAAAAGTGTATGTGATCGCATGAATATTCGAGATGACAAGCGCTAATAAATGATGAGCAGTAGTTATTACCAGTAAAGCAATAAAATGAGTCTCTCTACTCCGATTAACACTGATGAAATAGGGTGCCAAAATTGCATACAATAATTTTGAACAGATTTTTGAAACAACAGGTCAAATTGTGTTCAAGAGTAGAAGTGATCAAAAAGAGGCTTTATCGAATCAATAAGGCTGATTTTAATACACTAAATGCTCCATAATTAAAACAAACACACAGCAAACATTCCATTAAATTTCGAAAGTGAGAAATTTTTACATATATATACATATATATATAAACGACCAAGAAATTTTATAAAACGCGGATAAAAATCTTCATAATCGTAAGTTGACAATGATTCACTGGCTAAAGATCACTAAATCAGAAATCTGAACGAAAGAGATTTTCACTGAACTATAGACATCCTATGCAAAAGAAACATGCCTCATGAATCACACTGCTATGAAAATTGATACGCAAAAATCCAGCTGAAATTAAATGAATTTGCTTTTAAAGATGACAATGGATACCTTTGCCACTCATTATTTGAAGCATTCATTGAATATATTTGTCCCTTAACTGATCCATTATTTTCATTATTGCACTTACAACTTCACTCGTCTTAGCCGTACCTGTGAAATAATTTCTTCAGAAAAGGAGAGAAGCGTCACTGATTAGTAAAGTTCAGTTTCCTTTTTAGGTTTAATATTTCCAACATTTTACTTGATACTACTTCAACAGAAAATGAGTCGTTGAAAAATATAATTACAAGAGATGAAAAAAAGGCTGTATGATAATACAGCCTTTTTTTCATCTCTTGTATCTCTAGCCATCAGAACGCCAAATTCCCTAATGACAATTCATCTGTCTTGTAAGTACACAATAAATAGAATGTATATCAGAGAATACTGAAATGTAAAGTAAAGCTCAAAGCATCTAACTATATCATCTTTTTGGAGATATAGTCAACATAGATGTTAAGACTAATTACGAACTATTTGTAGGGTTAGCACCTTCTTTGAGAACTCAGTAAATGTCACTTCAGTAATTTTATTTGCTCTTTACTCTATGAAAGTTCCTTCTTATATTTTTGAAACTAACGATTTCTGAAAAAAGTAGAAAGTGTACTAGTTTGTTAACCCTTGAACTAAACAAAATTGCAAATTATAGATGTGAAAGTTACCTATCTTAAAGCTGGAGGCAAAATGACACGAAAAATTTGATTCCAGGGTCCTAAGTTTGGACAACAGGCTTACCTCCAATATCAGCAGTGTGCATATGTCGTTCTGTGAGTGCAATAAACAAGGAATCACTGATCAGATTTGCATAATTATCCAATCCCAAATATTTCAACATATCTACACTAGCTCGAATGAAGGAAGTTGGATTCGCAATATTTTTGCCAGCTATTTTAGTGCCACTGCCTCTTGTCCCCTGAAAATTACACAAAAATTATGAGGTTAAGATTTCGAGAGTTATTCAGAGAATAACTCTCAAAATGAAGCATTCTTTCAGACAATACAAATGGAATTATCTCAAATGTGTGCTTCCAATTACTGGATTAAATACAAATTGCAAAAATTTTTAACTGCTAAAAAAGAACAAACCGTTTCAAAAACAGCATATTTGGAACCCACATTCACACCTGACACTAATCCTGCTCCACCAATAAGACCACAAGCTATATTAGAAATTATGTTGCCGTAAAGATTGGGCAAAAGTATAATGTCAAATTGTTGTGGGCGAGAAACGAGTTGCATCGATGCATTATCAACAATCATTGACTCAAACTGCAACTGTGGATATTCATTCTCCGCTATTTCCTTGCATACCTGAATAGAAAAAAGATATAAAATCTGGTTATACTACTCCCATAATACATCCTAACAAGTTCGGCGCGACTTCAAGAAAGGAGCCGAGGATTAAGCCGTGCAACTTATCAAGAAATTAATTAAGCGTAAAGGACTTGAAAGGTTTGAAATCTCAGATCCTCGAGTAGATCGTATTTATGCATCTACAAATGCATGTGAATCATTTATGCATGCTAATGAATAAATGATATGGAAAGGTTAAAAGCATTATATAATATTGAAATATAAAGAATATGTGAATGCTCACTCTCAAAAATAAGCCATCCGCGAGTTTTTGTATATTAGCTTTGTGAACTGCTGTAACTTTCTTCCTTTTGTAAGCTACTGCATATTCGAATGCAAAGTGAGCAATCCGTTCAATATTTGTACGTGTAACAATCTATAAATTAATTCCAATAAAGAAAACATTGAACTATAAATTAGTAGAAGACTTTCCATTCTTCCAAATACAAACAAATTTTCCAGGAAAAATTTTGGAAAACTACAACTTCTATCAATTCCAGTTCATATTCGAGATTATTGCTAGAAATCTGGGACTAATATATGATTATAAAAACAACCTTCAAACTTTCAACGACTCCTTTTTTGGCCTCATGTTCAAGTCCAGAATATTCACCTTCCATGTTCTCTCTGAAAACAGTACTTTTCATTTTTAAAATAAGGTTAAAAATTTGGATGGGAAAAATGCAGCATAATATTTTATTAATATTTAAATAACAACAATGACTTTTTGTATCATATGCCACAAAATCATTTTTCTTTATAACGTATTTGACCAGCACAAACATCTTCTGAAAACAAGCAGAACGTTCTTATTTTGCGAACTGCATGCCATCGCCTTTCAAGATGAATTCTTAAAACGCTACAGAACAAATTAACCTTATCACTAATATATCCAGATCGCCGTGTCGTGATGGAATTGAAGGTATGCTTACACAGTGCAAAACATTGGCATAAAGTTCCAAACGTCGCCGCAATTCAACATTCCTTGATTTAAACTGCGGAACATCAAATTTAGTTTCAATGTTGCCCTTAAAAGTTTTATTCTTTTAAATCAGCGAAACATCTAGCATCGTTATTATAATCTCTGCAGTATTCGACACTGCTGCAAATCGGGTCATGTTAAAATTTTCCTACATAATCTTACAGTAATGAATAATGCTCAAATTTATGTCTTATTTTGTTTTGTTAAATTGTATAAAATCTGTGTTGATTGAGTAAAGAAACGTCAGTTCAAACAAAAAAAAAATTTATATAACCAAACTATTATTATAATTGGCAGAGTTTATTTTAACTCAGTTTCTTTGTCTTTCTCATTAGCGGATGCCCAGAACTGGACAATGTAAGATCAAATTTCCTACATTTTACATAGCAGAATTTTGTCTTACTTTCAAAAGAAATTTATTGTGATATTCATACATTTGCATGCGATGCTAGATAATGTCAATCTCTGTTCTGATCAAGCTAACTTGCATGCCTGCAGAAAATATTCATATGTAGCTGTTAAATGAGCTCAAGCATAAAATGACTTAGTCAGAAAGGCAGTAAACAGAAGCCTCTTTGGAACAAACTTTCCTCCTTTTTTTTGCGAAACAACCTGTTTATATAAGAGAAGTAATAAATAATATAGAAAACAGCTGAAAAAGAATAAATAAACAAAACTAAAGACAAACTTTTAGAGCTACTCCATTTCGTCGAATCGATAACAATGCATATTCCATATCAGTATCCAAATGAGTCATATCGGAGCTTAATGGGGTTTCCTCAAAGTCCACCGGAACCTACCAACAGCTACTGTTGTAAAATATAAGACTGTCCTCTTTGCAACAATTTTTTTTTGAAATTCCAAAAAAAGTGAAACATGTTGGAATAAAATGCTCATGTTTTTACGACGGACAATTAAATTTCCATTAAAATTCAAACTTGCAGTTCGAGTAAAAAACCATAAAAATTTAGACAAATGATAACGCAAACTAGAGAGTTTCAATTTCTGAACTCACATCAGCATGGTCAAAAATATGCTTGACATGGTTGATCATTTCTGGCCCGACACCATCGCCTGTAAGCAACGTCACCATTTGACGTCCACCATATTTGGCTAATTTAGTCTAAAATAATTAATTGCTGGCAAACATTAAAGGAAAACTTCTATCGCTATCAATACTAACCATGCTAATGTTAGTGAAAGGATCAGTAATGGTAGCATTAAGAGGATAAATGTTTCAATTCTAATATTAAAGGTAAATCATCTTTAACAACCTGACAGTTGATTTAACAAATGTGTAATAAAGAGTATATAGCAATATCAATTCGGAACATTCAAAAGTTTCATAGAGGTACAATGCGTAAGTATTCACTAGATGAATTACCACCAATCGAGCAGAATCTAGCACTTATGTCACGCTTAAGAGAGTTCACTAGAATTACGAAGCTAAAAGAATGCAGCGAATTCTTATTTTCATGTAATGCAACTGCAACACTGATGTTTGCAACGGATTTTTTTATAAATTTAATCATATTATGCATTTTAGCAGTAAATAAGAAAATTCGAACAAATCTAGAATTGAAACTCGTATGGAAATATGAATCAAAACTACAATTTTTTTATGGCTAATTCTTACTTCATGTAATGTGTTAAATCATCAAAATCCAAATTACCGAAACTAATCAGTGTTTTATATTTTTTATCATAACAAAGTTCCGACAATATTCCAACTCTGTTAAACTGACAATCTAATAAACTGACAAGTTCGACAATAAACATTAAAAGTTAAAACCTCTTTTTGTTGAAGAACATGCGATCGAAAACGGTACATTTCATTATCCGAAGTACATTGTGAGCTGACAGTTAGTCCTCGACAAGCATATTTCAGACTTATAGCATTAGTTCGCGATAACCACGCTAACGATTGAGTTGTTGACAACATCAAATATATGGCACGATATCAGTTCTTTATTTCTTCAAAAAGTTCCTGCAAAGCTACAAACATTCATAACATATTTTTAATATTAATGTAATCGCAGAAAATTTTAACGTCACTCTATTTATTACACTCATTACAAAAAAATATTTGTATAAAATATGATAATTCTAGAACAAAGTATTTAACATCTCGCTGTTTCCAAATTCAAAGTATTGAGGATGAGAAACATAAATTACTGTTGTAATGCGCACACAAAGAACAGTGCATACCGCTAGTTGGGATACTAATAGCAACCACTCGTCCATCAATCCTAACCATCCTTCTAAACTTCCGAAGCATCAACACGCAATCAAAACACATTCTCGTCCGCTTAACCGCTATATTACAATTGAACCTGTGTGAAAACGGCGATCCCTTCAATCGAATTACATCTTTCCACTGCTAATTTTGTGGCTTGTCATTATTTTCTCCCTCGTTCAGTGGTTACGTGATCATCAATTAATGATTGCTAACTTTCTTGTTATAACAAATCATACGGCACACTAAAGGAATATTGAAGAAAAAAATGTTGGTCGAGAATTGCTTATAAATTATAAAGGTTATCTCAGATATCTGCTTAAGTTAAATATTCAGGTCACAATGTTTGAAAAGCAAAACTTGGACATACATCTAAAAGATTCAAATAAATGAAAGAAACAACCGACCCGATTGTTAGTAGACTGGTTTCCAGCAATTTAGTTAAAGTGATAATTTATCAATTTTCTGCTACTGACGATGCTTATTCGAAATAAGCATTGCTATTTTATACAAATTTTGCCGACTATATAATTTTAATCTATCAATTAAATTTGTTCTAAATGTCAACCCGAATGCAATTTACACCTACGTCTGAATATAAAATTGTTTTACTTGGAAGCGGAAGTATTGGGAAAAATACTCTGATAAAGTCCTTCAGATTATTAAGTTTTTTTTTCTTTTTCGTTATTATTTTCCTGATAATTTCGTCAAATTGCAGACAGCACAATTAGTAAAAAGAGTATTTTTAAAGCCATATGATCCAACAATCGAAGTTAGTTATAAATAGGAAATTGATGTCGACGGAACGATTTGCATAGTGAAAGTCCTTGACACCGTTGGAACTATAAGTTTTGACTTTATTTACTTATATTGTTAATTCTTCACACGAAAGAGAGAAACGCTCGAAATATAAAATTTAAAAGAAATGATTGACGATGTTTGCTTAAATGATATAACTTTTTATTTTTGGCAGACGTTATAATATGAAATAGATAAGTATGATTCAAGCAAATCAATTTTTCTCAAAAAAGTTTTGAAAACTCAAATTAATTTTATCTATATGATTTGAATTCGAAAATATAAGACTCTTTGCGGGAGCAATTTACAGTAATGCGAGATTTATACGTGAAAAATAGCGACGGCTCTATCATAGTATATTCAATTATTGATGCAACAAGTCTGGCAAATACAGTTGAAATATCTTGAGGTTTATTATGAGATCATGTCAGTGCTGCTTAAAATATTTGCTCAAATTTTAAAAAGTAATTTCAGTTATATGAAGTCTAAAATTCTATAAGGATACCATGAAGATGATCAGTTTCTTTGATTTAAGTGTACAATAGATTTTCAATTCTACATTGACTCTGATCTAAATCTTGCAATATTTCAATAGATTTTGATCGAAAATTCAAACCATATATTGTATAATATATAAATTGGAGTTTCCATTACTTCTTGTTAGTAATAAATGTGACGATATCAAAAATCGAGAAGTGTCGAGAATCGATGATGGACAATATGCAAAACTCGGTATAATTCAACATTTTGTTAAGCATCAGCTAAAAATAATATCCATGTCAGCGAGGTTTGTTAAATAGTTCGCATATTTGTTTGTTTATTTCTCGCTTCAATTTAAACAGGATTTCAAAAATGGCTAACATTTAAAATTTTTCGCTTTCTGAAACAAATTTGATTGACTACAAAATGACGACGACTTTACAGTCTAAAGTTTAAGCTTTAATCATGTACCAATTAATTGCATCGGCATTATTTCTTTTAGACAAACGAATCAGAATTAACGGATTTTCAGAAAAGTCTGAAAGTAGAAAAATTAATGAATATCCTAAAATTAAAATGTTAAAGACATGTCATTCAAAAATTATTGGTAATTTGTTCCTTATAATTCAAATAAGAGCACTAATTGTTACAGATCATTGAAGATTATGAAACAAATTAGGATTGAAGTGCATTAACACTTCATCAATTGGAAAAAGAATGCAAACGACGGCATGCCGATAACGGCAGATCAATATGCTTTCATATAAATTAGTTCATTCAAGGATTAGAAAAAACAATAAATCCTACAGCTTCTCGACGAAAATATGTTTCCATCCCTAATTTTTCAACCATCCCATTTCATATTTCATGTAATTTGTTAAAGAAACAATTGATTTGACATTATTCAATTGAGGCTCATGAACTCTAAAGTTCTCATATCATAACCTTTTTACTATATTCCTTCTTTCATGCCTTGTTTGGTAGAAATGAGTATTTTACAGTACGGTATATTTTTGGGTAAGTCGTTCAATTTCTTCAATAGAATTTTGATATATTAATAGAAATTAATATTTTCGATTAAATTTTTTAAAAATAATTGTAAAAATATAATTTACAATTCCAATCTATCACGGATCACCACTCATCTCTTTATCCAAATTATCAAATTATTGATCCATATAATCAAATGAGAATGTATTGTAATAATTTTTATAACCATAAATAAAAATTTTAAATCTTAAAATTGTGTCAATTAAATAATAACATCTAATTGAAATTATTCTAAGGACTGGTAATTGTGATTACTTAATGATGAAGCCGTCTTAAAGGTAAAGCAGGTAAGCATCTCTTGAAGATTACGGAAAAGTTCAGTTGTAGTATGCAAAAGAGTTATCAGAAGGAAGGAACTTTATCCTCGGTGAAATTAACTAATTTTTCCAACCCTTCTTTTTTTAAAAAGATGTCTTGATACTGAAATGAAAGTTCAGTTAGAAGGATGAATTTAATCTTTGTTTCCAATGAGGAAAAATGATGCAAACTTATGATATTTTTTAGTTTTTCTGCTGATATAAACTTATAATATCATCCAGCTACTATGAAAATAATTGTTTTCTTCAAGATAGCAAATTTAATTCTAATGGAATTTAATTCAGTGTCCTATTAATTTTACTTTAGATGATGCAGACACCTTCATCATTGTAAAATTGTTAATGATTAATGTTTTGATAGCACACTGCAACATTTATCTCGTGGAGAGGTGATTGAGAGTAATCAAGAAGAATTGTGGTCTCGAGATAAAGATGCTCCTAAATGCAAACTATAATGCTGAAATAGTTCCTGTATATTTTTAATGAAAATTAAAGTGAATTGTGCAAATAACAAAAAAAAATTAAACTTTAAGATTTAATAATATTAGTAAATAACCTGTGAAATCTTTAAAATCATTAAATCAAACTAAAAATTAGTCAGGATAGAATAAAATATGGCGTGAAATAAGGTAGTCTTTATGCTATGCGAATATTTAAAAATTCAATAATGTGTATGTGTTGAATATTTTAGTGCAAAGATTGATGTAAAATGGGAACAAAAAAACAACAAAGTTCGAGAGTTAGTTCTCGACTTATAAGCACTTAATTGTTCGTAGTAGATGCAGTTGTTTGGATGTATGAAGGAACAGCTGCGAAAGCTCATTGCTTAAAATACAAATCTATCGGACGGAGCAATTTAACTCTATACAAATTCCTCATTTTGTTGCCTTCTCATACCAAGCTAATCTTATTATTATAGCCTGCTAAGTTTCAAATTTTCAGCAACCTTTCAATTTCTTTGATTATCCATTCATTCTAACAGTTTTTCTTTTCTCTGTGTACTTAGCAATAATTTAAAATTTATCAATATACTAGAAATTTTTCAAATATCGCGTCATTTTGCATAAAATCGTAATATTCTGTAACCACTTTTTACCACCTAACATTCTTCTCTTACACTTCCTCATTTTATCATATCATTTGTAATATTTCATTTACCGTACATAACGGAGATACGAAGAGAAAGACACTTTATGATAGACTTGATTCTTGATATATTTATTGTTCCAATATGAGCATATAGTATCATTAACAGTTTTTAATGTAATGGAATTGATAATCTATCAGGTGATATAAATTACATTACTTAAGAAATGCGTACTTATCAGCTTTGTACAAATTATTATACTTCGATTAATTTAAAAAAATTGTCCTCAATGCTTACTATCATCAAAAAATCTTCTAGAATGATTATCTGCAATCAATGTCAATTTATTTTCATTATAAATAAAGTAAAAACAAACTTTACAAACATTTCGACTTTTATTTCATTTGATTAATAACATTAATAATATTGTTATCTATCAAACAGAAAAATTGCGACTCGTCGCAAAATTATTGCGAATAAATTTGTTGAATATATTCAAAGTGAAAATATAATGCATATTTGTTTAATTCATTTATATGAGCGCTACAAATCTTAATTTATATTCAGTAACGACGTAAAAATTGATAGTTTCATTGTTTCAACGATCCCTGTATTGTCACAATGTGTGATATTTTTCGGAATTTAAATTTGGATCTTATATTTTATTTTCAAAACTTTTGAAGCAAATTTAAAAACCACCAAAATCGAATATTACACACAACTGCGATTTTTCATAGCTCAACAAATCATTTAATGATTAGCAATTCATTATTCGAATGAAAATTTCGATTGGTTGGAATACTGTGAACACTCATTCCTTGCTTTTCAAAATTTACAGCATAATATATACATCTTCTAATCTTCGATTTTTAACTTTGTACGATGAATCGCTGATATATCGCAGTGAAAAATTCGAACATTGTTCCAACAAAGAGTCTGTGTTAGTTGGTTGGATAAACTTTTCAACAATCACT